GGCTGAAGCCCGGCGGCCCTTCGTGCCGCTCCAGCGGCAAAGGAGTTGCCTTTTATTACCTGTCAGGTAATTAGCGGTGTCAGAGGGGCAGAGGCCGCTGTAGGTGGGAGTCTTAATCACTTGAGTTCAAAGTAAGGAGAGCGTGCCGTGGCGGGAGGAGCGCCTCTCTTCGTGACAGCGCGGCCGGCGGCTCGGCGCCTGCCCCGGCCCCGAGTGGGGACCGACGGACCGGCCTGGCCGGCTGGGGCTCCCCGCTGATTCCCCGGGGGTGCTCCCGCATCCGGGCCTCGGCTAGGGAAACCCTAGGAAGCAGAGGCCCAGTAAAGGATCATCGAGTTGGCTTGGGGCTGGTAAACAGCAGGAAGAGCACACTGCAAAAATACGCTCCAAATAACGTTGAGCTCATAACTGATGGTGAGGGAGTGCAGGGCTTTTGCTGGTTTAAAGGAGATCTCTCGGTCCTTGACCTCACGCCGTTCTTCGAGGTGCCGCTTAGTCACAGGTGGGTGCTCCGCGGGGTGCACAGCCCTCCCGTCACATCCCTGGACCGGCATGCAGGCCCAAACCAGTTCAGCAGCCTGATTATGCCCTGTGGCGGCGGCGACGGCGCGTTATTTGCTTGTGTGAGTAGCTGGGAAGGAGTAAACATTAAAGCGACTATGTAGAAATTCTTCCCGGTGAGGCAAACTGACGCGAAACGTTGCTACAGGACGTGGTTGAGGAAGTGTCCTGGTATGATCCAAACTGTTGAGGAGCTGGTTTTATCTAGCTTAGAAGAAATGTTTCCCCTCCACATCTTGGAAATGGAAAGAGCTCTGCTGCCTTGTCAGTCTGTCCCTCTCAGCCAGTCTGAGAATCTGCATCTAGCTCAACTATGAAGTAATCTCCCAGTAGAATTTCTTTCTTTGTCAGGATTTTTTTTTTTCACATTAAAGCTAGACCTTTTTAATGTCTGTCTTGGATAGATACATTTTTCAGATACATCTATACTGTTATGGTTTTTTTTCTTCTGAAACTACAGGGCTTTTGGTTGTTTTCCCATATGCTGACCCTGTTGATTCCTTCCTTCGCCCAATAATTTTGCGATTTCCTGACTCGTTACTTCATCTGACTTCTACAATAGGCTGATCAGAATATAAGGATAGTTTTAGATCTGGCCTCTTCGGGCTTGTGTTGGGTTAGGGTTTGTTTTTTTCTTTTTCTGCGCTCTTGAACCATACAGGCCTCGGGTTCTTCTGGCGCTGTAGCACACTGCAAAG